CCTAGCCCAGCTCTGACCCCAGTGAGCGTGGGATTCCAGGGTCCCATCCCAGGCGAAAGCCGGGCACGCCCCCGTGTGTCGCGTCGCCGCAACAGCACCGCGGAGCTCCCGCGAGCCGCGCCCAGACTTCAGGAGGAAGCGCTCACCAGGACAGGGCCATCAAAGGAACAAGTGACGACCTCAAATGGCAACGTGGTGACCCTAACGAGAGAGAGGGACTGGGGACTGTGGTGGGCGCTTCTGCGGAACTGGCCAAGTTCTATTTTGGTTGCACAATATTTGCTGTCTAGTATGTTTTACACTGTACACCATGTCTTAGGTGCACTTCTTTGTGAACACTATCTTACTTGCGTAAGGTTTTTAACAAACTGGGAGGTGGGACAGAAGGAGTTAAAAGAGGCTAGCTTTGCACGATGTGAGAGCCTAAGAGATGCCTGGGAAGGTGTCCCAGAGGCAGCCGAGGCTGAAGCTCAGATCAGGGCTACAGAGATTCTCTGAGACAGCTCCAGAGGGGCCAAGTACGCAGCTGTGCTGCAGAGGTGTCTGCTCACAGGCGCCTGGCCGCCGCCCAGCTGTCCTCCTAGATGCCACCCCTCGCACGTGCTGCTGGGGGCAAGCAGCTGCCCGGGAGTTCGTTGACATGGGCTGAGCCATTTTAGGCAATGCACTTCCTGGGCCTCATCCACACTTCCAGCAACCCAGCTGTTGGTTTGCCTTTGGCAAGGGTCCAGCTCTTCAAATGTATTCCTCTGTTCAGAGGCTGGGTCATGTCCCCTCAGGCCAGGGTTCCCAGTAGTTCAGTCCAGAGGCTGGGTCATGTCCCCTCAGGCCAGGGTTCCCAGTAGCTCAGTCCAGGGTTCAGTCAGGGCCTCTCCAGGCCTGAGACCTATGTTCTCAGGTTGGCCCTGCCTGGGGTGAAGTGAGGCTGTGCTGGGGGTGGGAGCTGTGGTATTGTGGTCCAGAGCAGTGGGCAAGCTGGCCCAAAGCCCCAGGCTGCCTGGCACTTTCCACAGGCCCGTGCCAGCACCCAGGCAGCTTGGCAGTGGCTGAGCAGGCACACAGCCTACACCTCCTATGTGGCCCCTCCCAGGCTCCCTCCCTGCTCACTCCAGCCAAGCATCCCTGGCACCGTGTGGGTGAGCCCGTGTGTCTGCATGTCTGAGTGTCTATGTCTGCATGGGGGGGCCTCGGCCATCCCAGGTCAGAAGCATACTGGGCCTGGAGCCTGCCCAGAACATGTGGAATGCTGGGAGCAAGACGGTGGACTTGGGACCCTGGGGACTGCCTGGGTTCAAACTCCGGCCCCACCACTTAGCTCTACTATCTGTGCCAAGTGCCTTCCTGCCTCTGTTTCCCCACCTGTAAATGAGGATAAGTCCCAATAGCACCAGCACAATGGCCCCGGCTGATATCACTTTACAGGGGGGTGAACAGCTTCAGAAAACTGAATTTCTGCCCAAGGTCCCAGGCCAGATGGAGTGGATGCTAAACCCCACCTGAACCCAGCACCCAACCTGCTTCCACCAGGCCACTGAGGTGGCCTCCATGAGGACACCAGGGAACCAGTGCCACCAGCCATGGGGTTGGCAGATGGCCTGGTAGGAAAGCCCTACCCAGGGAGTCCCAGCTGAACTAGGCTTCCTATCCCCCGCCTTTTATTAGTATATGTTTGCAGTATATGATAAATGCATTCCTTGTGGGGAGGTGGTAAATATATATATATATATATATATATATATATATATATATATATATATATTTGATCCTTTTTATTTCCCCTTCCTCTCCCCATCTCCAGATCCCTTTCTCATCTTCACAAAGTCTGTCTCCCTGTTTCCCACTTCTAGGAATTATTTATATTTTGAGTTTCTCATATGAGAGAAACCATGGGATATTTAATCTTCTGTGTCTGATTCACTTCACTTAGCATTATGATCTCAAGGCTCATCCATTTTCCTATGAATGACCTGATGTATCCTTCTTTTTGGCTAAGTAGTACTCCATTCGGTATGTACACCACCTTTTTTCTGTACATATACCACATTTTTCTACCTGTCTGTTCATAGACATGTAGACTGCTTCCAAAATTTAGCTGTTGAGTTGCACTGCTATAGACATGGGTGTGTATGTATCACTGTAAATGATGTCTTTAGCTCTCTCAGGGATATACCTAGGAGAGGTATACCCGGGTCTATTTTAGTTTTCTGAGGAGTCTCCATACTGATTTCCATGATGGTTGTACTAGTTTACATTCCCATCAACAATATAAAAGTGTTTCTTTTTTCCCCACAACCTCATCAACATTTGCTGTTTTCTGAGTTTTTGCAGGTAGCCATTCTTTCTAGAGTAAGACAGAATTTCATTGTTGTTTTGATTTGTATTTCTCTAATGGCCAGAGATGCCGAGCACTTTCTCATGTATCCATTGGCCATTTATACTTGTTCTTTGAGAAATATCTATTCATTTCAATTGCCCATTTTTTAATTGGATCTTTTATTTTTTATTTTTATTTTTATTTTTAGTCTTTTTGAGACAGGGTCTTGCTGTGCAGTTCAGGCTGGCCTTGAGTTCACTTTGTAGCCCAGGCTGGTCTTGAACTTGCAACGATCGTCCTGCTCCAGCCTCCTGAGTGCTGGGATCACAGGCGTGCACCACCATGTCCGGCTGGATCTTTTATTTTTTAGGGTTTTTTATGTATTCTGGATATTGGTCCTCTGAAAAGCAGCTGGCAAAATTGTTTTATATTCTGTAGCTTGTCTCTTCATTGCTGTTTCCTTTGCTATGCAGAAACTCTTTATTTTGATATAATCCCATTTGTTGACTGTTGGTATGTCCTGAGCTCTTATGGAATAGCCAGGGCCAGGGGCCACCACTGAGTCCCTCCAGTGGCTAATAGGATGCCCAGCCTCCTGGGCTCCAGGCAGGGCAGGAAATGGGTACGTGGGGTCTACAGGCAGCAGAAAGGTTTTACACAGATGAGACAGCAGTGGTGAGGTGCGGCCAAGGGGAGCGGGAGGCAGAAAGGGAGATGAGGTGTAGGCCAGCTCAGTCCTGGGGGCCAGCCTCTGAGACAGGGTACCTGGCACTAGCCCCACAGCCTGCTGGGCTGAACTGGGCCCACAAGTAGGAGAGGCACAGGGACCTCATACCAAGGAGCCCCCCAGCCCTTGCTCACTGTAGCTGCTCTCCAGACCCCTGCCGTGCCTGGCTGCCAGGACTCCTCAGCCAGTGGCGCCAGGAAGGGCAGGCTGGCTGGGTGAAGAACAGGCCAGCCACAGACAGGGTGTAGAGTCTTCTAGACTCAGGTCCAGGGGTAGGGGCTGAGGCAGTGCCATCCCCAGTTGGCTCCATGGAGTCCACAGACTCACTTGGAAGAGAGCGGTGCCTGAAGCTTTTGCCAGGCCTGCCTTGTGGGGAGTGGCTGAGCTAGAGATCGACCACACATTCAGGGCTAGAGCAAGGCCAGCCACAAGAATGCAGAGGTCTGGAGGGGCGCCATGTAAACTAGCTGTTGGGACTACAGTAAGGCCAGTCCAGCAGGTGTCTGCACTTGGTGTTCTTCCCTGTTGATTACAGCACAGACAGCTCTGAAAATGTTTTGCTTTCAGTGTTCTCAGCAAAACACTGAGACCTTGCTCTTTCTGCCCTGTTGCCTTCCACTGCCTTCTCCTTTTTTACAGTGTATAAAGAGGCAGACCATGCTGGGTTGTCACTGCCTCTCCAGCGGATAGGTCAGGTCCCACCTGGTCCCAGCTTTCCTTTTAGTCTGTGTCTGTAGTTTTTTCTGACTTTCCCGTTGCCCCCTCCCAAGACCCCGAAGGCTGCGTGCATCATGGCACTGGCTGTCCTGGACACACCATGCTCGCCTCGCCCCAGATTCCTGCACCTGTCCTAGCTCCAGGCTCCACTGCTCACCACTCTCCCCAGGAATGAAGCTGCTCCTTGTCCCTAGGAACCCTCCACAGCCAGCCACTACAATCCTTCCCACCCTAATCTGAGTCCTAGATCCTAAGTTTGTTCCCAAAAGTTAGAGCTGGTGAAGATGTAGCAAGGGCAGGCCAAGAGGGATGGCCACCGAAGAAGTAGGTCTGGAGCTGAGCTTTCAAGGAACAGCAGGACTTCTGAGGCAGGAGGATCGAACTGAAAGTTCCAATTCAGCCCCATACAACTTATCGAGACTATCTCAAACTTTAAAAATGTACTCAGGTGTGGTGTTGTCCACCTGTAATCCCTGTACTCTGCGAGGCTGAAGCATGAGGACTGGGAGTTCAAGCCCAGCATGGGCAGTTTAATGAGACCCTGTCTCAAAATAAAAAAATAAGAAGGACTGGGGACACAGCTCAGTACAAAGGCCCTGGGTTTAATTCCCAGTACTAGAAAGAGGGACACTTGGACAGACTGAGCACCGAATGACCCATCCTTGTGTGCCACTCTCCCTCACAGAAAGATAAAGGGGGACGCAGGGATAGGAGGCTTGAGTCCCTCTGGCAACCAAATCCTCAGCGGGGGACAAAGCACCTTTCTGGGCTGGGGTCCCTGCCCCTGCCTCTGCAGTCTTGGGATAGTAGCTGGCTCTTAGGAACAAGTCTGCCTGTCACAGTCTGTTACACTGCTGCCTCCCCCACCCACTCCCCTGGCTTCCTAGTTGCCTTCCAAGTGAGAGTAACTCATTATTTGCCTGTCAGCCACACCCATGCTTCTGGCCCTGGCTCTGCCCCCTGTCTCCCCAGCTGTGTTTGGGTTGGGCCCAAGGTGCCAGCCTGCCTCGCCAGCAGCTTGGGGGACATCTGAGCCCTCCAGGCCTGGCGCCAGGGCCCAAGTCACTGACTGAGGGTGGGGGAAGAGCCTGGGAGCCAGGTGGGGGCCTCTCCCTGCTGTCAGCACTCATGATGGATGAGGGTTAGGGCAGGGAGCCGGGCCAGGGGGCTAGAGGCCTGCCTGCTGCAGGGGCGCTGGGGCTGGCCTCCTGCGGTCTGCAGGAAGAGCCTCTGCCACTCGCAGCTGGGGTGTGGGTCAGGGCTCCCACCCAGCAGGGGTGTTTAAAGGCCCAGAAGGTGCCGAGCCTGCCCACTCCCCTGCACCATGGGCATCTGGGCCTTGTCTGCAGCCCTTTTCCTGCTCTGTCTGACTCCCGAGAGCCTGCAAGGCGGTGAGGAGAAGGGCTGCGCAGCTGGGCCCTGCCGGGGAGACAAGAGCGCGGGCAGGGAAGGTGGGGGTGTGGGGAGCCTGGGCTGGTGGAGGCCTCAGATAGGAAGCTTCGCGGGTCTAAGGATGCCTGGGTCTTACCCTTTCTTGGCATTTGGGGTCCTGCCCTGAGTAGTACCCCCTTGTTCCCACAGGGCTGCCCCCGCTCCCTGCTGGCCTGCGGATAGGTAAGCAGCCCCTCTGAGCCCTGGGGTCAGGGGACAAGGCCTCTTTCTCCTGCCCTGGGGACAGCCCCAGAGGTCCCCTAGCTCTGGGACTCCAGATGTGGGATCCCTCCCTGTCTTTCTGGCAGGTAGCATTGTCAGTGGTCAGCTCAAGTGTGGGACCGGAGAGGCAAGGTCTGGAGATGGGACAGGAGGGGTGGGGACAAGGACAAGGTGGGCTGGAGGGGCTGAGTGTCTCAGAGACTCTTCATTCCAGGGCCTGTGGGGTGCTAAGGGCAGGGGGAGGAGCTCCCTCCTGAGACCTGAGGCATTTATGGGGGGCCAAGGGGAGTCCAAAGACCCTCAGAACTAAGACTAGAGGCAGAGGAGGGCAAGTTGGTGAGGAAGAGGGCACACCAGGGGGGCATTGCTGCTTTCTGGCTTGGTCCAGGGATCCTGTACCCCACTTGCGCCAGAACCCCATGCCTCCCTGGCTCATCTCTTCCTCCTCCCACAGGCCTCTAGCTCAGAATGGCTGTGGAACAGGTAGATGTGGAGCCAGGGAGAGCTAGGAACCAAGATTCTAGGGGTGTCCCTGGGGTGGGGGACTCCTGCAACCCTCAACTGGCCCTCACCTCTCTGTCAGGCTTTGGAGGGGGTGTGACCCTTTTCCCATGCCCAGGGACCCCCAGTTTCAGCTCTCCTGCTGCCAGACTGCTCTCCTTAGTGTGTCTTTGGCCTCCTGTAACCAGTAGGGGAACAGAGGCCCAGAGAGGGAAGGGTGGCACCCACACTTGCCCCCCCCCCCGTCCACTCCTAAGGTACTCCCCTCCCCTCCTACCACAGGCTTGGGGAGTCCAAATGGCTACAGATCAGGTAAAACTGTTTGGGGATGTGGGCCTCGGGACATAGCTTCCCAGCTTCTGCCCCTTCCGCCACCCCCAGGGCTCACCTGCCCATTTCCCCCACAGGCTACGGCCCTCCCAGGGGGCTGGAAGCAGGTAAGGGCTGGGCCCAAAGGGGGGAGTCTGGGAAACAATGCACTTCACGTCTCTCTCCCTAGCAAAGAGGGGAGTCGGGCAGCAGCAGGGAAAGTGGGGGACAGGCAGATACCTCCGGAGGGGAACAGAGCTGATCCCCATCTTCCTCTGTATGTCAGGGGGGTACCAGCTAGGGAGAGGGAAGAAAAGGAGGAGGGAAGGGTGTTCCAGGCCCTCTCCTGCACCCAGGATGCTTTGCAGCCCTCTGATCTAGTTGGCCTAGGGGCCCAGGGGGTGATTCTGGGGAGCTTCCGAACCACAGGACTTCTAGGGCACCCACTTTTCTGTCCTCCAGGCTTTGGAGGGAGTGCTAAACCTCAGAAGCCAGGTGAGCCCTGCTGCAGCCCAGTTCTATGTCCCTGTCTTTCTCCCACACCCCTCACTGCATCTGTCCCCCTCGATCAAGCATGGGAACGGGCCTGGAGTCCAGTCAGATGACAGTGGAGTCTGTAGGGTTAGCATCTGGGTGTCCTCTCCCTGCCTCCCTCCCAGGGTGAAGGGGTAGGACTGGTGAATGTTTTGCTCTGTTTTTTGAGGGGGGCATTTCCCGCTTTCTGGTTTGGTCCAGGGGTCCTGTACTCCACCCGAGCCCAAGCTCCATGCCTCCCCAGCTCATCTCTTCCCTTCCTACAGGCCTCCTGGCTCAGGATGGCTATGGAGCGAGTAGGGGTGGGGCCAGGGGGAACTGCAGACCAAGATTCTAGGGGTGTCTTTCGTCTTTCTCAGGCATTGGAGCAGGTGTGAACCCTCAGAAGCCAGGTGAGTCTCACTCAGACCCTCCTGTCCCCTCACCCACCTTCTCCTGTCTGACTTCCCCCTCTCCCTGCTGTCTCCCTGGAGTTTGGGACCCAGAACGGGAACAGGATGGGAACAGAGGTTTTCCCAGGTGCTACGGCCCAGCCTGGTGAGATGGAGCAAGGGGAATGCCTGCATTTTTGCCTGGTTTTGGGGGGTGGCCCGGCCAGCATTGCCAGGGTCCTGTTCCTGGCTCCCCTAAGCCTCAGGAGGGCAGGTCTGGTGTCTCAGTGAGGTGGTTTGGGGAGAGATGAAAAAGGACCCCCTGCCTCACCCCACTTCAGATGGACCCCAAACACACCTCCCTCACCCCTCAGCCCCTCAGCTCAAAATTGCTGCTGAGCAGCGAAAGACTTGGTAGAGCATGCCTGTAATCCCAGTACTCTGAGAGGCTGAGCCAGGAAGATCACTTATTGGAGGCCAGCCTGGGCAATTCAGTGAGACCTTATCTCAAAATAAAAAATAAAGCCAGGTGTGGTAGCACATGCCTGTAATCCTAGAACTTGGAAGGCTGAGACAGGAGGATTGCTTTGCATTTGAAATCAGCCTAGGCTATACAGAGAGTTTAAGGCTACTTTGGGGCCGGGGATATAGCTCAGCGGCACAAGTGCTTGCTTGGCAAGTGCAAGGTCCTGAGTTCAAATCCCAGTACCCAAACACAAAAAGGCTACTTTGAAGTACATAGCAAGCTGGGCGTGGTGGCACATGCCTGTAATCCCAGTACTCGGGAGGCTGAGGCAAGAGGATCATTGCAAGTTGGAGGCCAGACTGGACTACAAAGTGAGCTCAAGGTCAGCCTGAACTGCATAGCGAGACCCTGTCTCAAAAAGACAAAAAAAAAAAGTACATAGCAAGACCCTGTCACAAAAAGAAAAACCACGAAAAAACTATATATATACATATATATATGTACATATATATATGTGTGTGTGTGTGTGTACATATATACATACATACACACACACACACATATATTTGGGGTTTTTTGTATTATATGTTGGGGTTTTTTGTATATAAAATAAGAAAAGACTGAAGCTCAGTCCAAGGCCTCTGGTCCAATCCCCAGTGCCCCCCAAAATAATGATGACTCCTGGTCAGGGATCTGGGCGAGGAGGCAGGTCTCAGGGCGCCCTTCATCCGCTGCCCATCTCTCCCCAGGCTTGGGAGGGAGTGTGAAGCTCCAAAAGCCAGATGCGAGCCCGTTCCACGCCCCTCCGCTCTGTGACTCCCTCATGGGTCCCTGCCTCCTCTCACAGCCCCAGTCCCCTCCTTATTCTCTCTGGCTCTGTCTCCCCAGGATATGGAACCAGGCCAGGAGCTGCAGCCTTCCTAGGGGTGGGAGCACAGCCAGGTAAGGACACCTGGGTTTCAGAGGGAGGGTGGGGCTCAGCCTCTCCCCCTTTTCCAGGCCTGGGGGGTCCTCTGAAGCCAGGTGTGTGCAGTCTCCCCACCCATCTTGGCTTTATTTCTATCTGTGTCCCTCAAAGCTCCCAGGATTTGAGGGCAGAGACAGCTTGGGTGTCCGTGTTTTTCCAGGGCTGGGATGGTTGCCAGGTGAGGGGGCCTCAGAGAAGGTGGAGGAGAAGGGCTCATGGCCCCCAGCCTCACACCATAGGGGAGGGCTGGCTGGAGTCAGGGGTCAGTGCCAACCTCTGCCTTTCTCTCCCAGGCCTGGGACGGGGCGTGCAACCACAGAAGAGGCTGGGTGAGGGGCGAGCCATGGCCCTTGCCCTATCTCCAGTTCTACTGTCTATGTCCCGTCTCTCCCTGTCCCCATCTCTGCCACTGTTTGTGTCACCCATCCAGAGAGCAGCCCATGCACTGACCTACTGACACCACTCCTGTGGTGTGAGACATGGTGCTGGGCCTGAGGAGCGTCTCCCAGGCTGCTCTCTGGCATGCTCAGAGGGAAGGGCTGCTGGGGGCATGGTACATGAAGGCCAGGGGTGGGGACACTGCAGGAGCTGGTCTGGCCCTACACCGGCCTAACCCCAGCCTTTGCCTTTATCTTGACACAGGCCCTGTGCCTCAGAATGGCCATGGACCAGGTAGGGGTGAGCACGGCAGAACAGGGTGTTTGGTAAGAACGGGGGTTTATGACGCTCGAGGTCCCCTCAGCTGGTCTCTCCTTCTCAGGTGCTATAGAGGATATGAAACCTCAAAAACTAAGTGAGTAGGGGGCACGGTGGCAGAGGGCTGTAAAGCCAGCACCTGGGGAGTTTATGGCAAGACTGCAGGTTCAGGCCTAGTGTGAGAGACTCAGTGACTTAGTGAGACGCTGTCTCAGAAATTAAAACAGAGGACTGAGGATGTAGCTCAGCGTGAAGGCCCTGAGTTCAATCCCCAGTTCCAGGGGCCGGGGACCAGGGGAGCCCTGCCCTGTGCCAGTGTACCTGTCTACCCCTCACACAACTGGCCTGGCCTCCCCTGCCTCCTTCCTGCTCTTTCCCCCAGGGCTCAGCAGTGGGAATGGGATGGGAGCTGGTCCCTTTCTGGGAGCTGGAGTCCAGCCAGGTGAGGGCGCTTGGGCCAAGCTGTGGTTTGGGGAATGAGAGGGGAGGACCTAGGCTGGGGCAATCAGGGACCAGGGAGGCAGAGTAGATTTCTGGAGGGAGGGTAGTGGGTTGGGTGGGGTCTGCACATGGCTTAGCCCTTCTGGGTCTTGCTCAGGCTTGGGAGGGGGCATGAAGGCTCAGAAACCAGGTGAACAGATACCTGCTCTCCCTGTCCTCACCTTGGCTCTATCCTCCCTAAGTCTCTCCCCCACCACGCCAATTTCCTTCCAGGATTTGCCAATGGAAACAGCCTGGCACCCCAGCCAGGTAAGAGGTAGAGAAAGAGATGGCCCCAACACAGCCCTAGGACAGCAGTGGGGCTCTCAGCGGCTCGCTCCTTTGGCTAATCTCCCCGGGGAAACCTGAGCCTGGCCTTCTGAGCCCTGAGGACGGCTGCGGGTCAAGCCTGGGCTACTGGGCACAGCTTACAATCCAAGAACCAAATGCTCAACTGGGGTGGGGACCGTGGTCAGGACTGGGAGGGAATTCACAGGCGTGAAGGGCAGGGCCATGGGAGCCAGGGGCCGGCAGACCCAGCCCATCCCCTCTTGGCACCACAAAGAGATTTCCTGTGTCTAACCCCACACCTAAAAAACTAGGTCCTGCAACACTGAATGGCTTTGGAGAAGGTAAAGAGGGGATGGTGATGGAGGATGGGAGCCCAGGGCTGAGGTTCTGGGCAAGGCCCAGAGATGAAGGGCCTTTACCTACTCATCTGCCCCCAGGCTTTGGAGGAGTTAGAAAGCTTGGGAAGCCAGGTGAAGCCCTTACTGCACCTGTCTCTGCCGTACTTTATCAGCCTGTGCTCTTCCCAGGTCCTTGATCTTCCCCATTTTCTTTTGCTCTGTATCTGTAGGACTTGGCAACAGGAATGGGCTGGAAGCTGGGATCTTCCTAGGAGCAGGGTCCCAGCCAGCTGAGCATGGGGGTTCCCACAGGTGGGGCTGCTGAGACAGGGACTCAACAGTCTCTCTTTCTCAGGCCCTGGGGGAGGACTAAGACCTCAAGAGTGAGACCCACTTACTCGCCTCCAATTCGATCTCACACAACAAACACTCATTCAACAAATCAATGCAGCCAGTCATGAAAGCACACTACTCGAGAGGCTGAGGCGGGAAGACCACAAGTTCCAGGCCAGCCTGGGCAACTTAGCAAGCCTCTGCCTCAAAATAAAATATAATAAAGGACTAGGGATGTAGCTCAGTGGTAGAGCACTTGCTTAGCATGAGAAAGGCTCTGGGTTCAATCCCCAGCACCACAAAAACAAGACAAAATGAAATAATCAAAAATCAATGTATGGACCACTGCTGTTCTAGGTCAGCTAGGTGCTGGAGTTGGCTCTCCCAGAGCCTGCGCCAGCTAGGGGACGGACAGGACAACAGTCTAGAGTACAGTGCTGGGACAGGAAGTGGAGGCCAAGGAGGAGAGCTGGCCAGGGCCCACTGAAAAGCTGGGGGCGGCTTGAGCGGGGCAAGGTGAGAAGAGGCTGGGACAAGCTCCCTGGGATGGTGTAGGGAAAGAGCCCACAGCCACCATGTCCCCAACTTTCCCGTACTACTGCCCCTCCCTGGACCATAGCTGGTCTGGGAGATGGGCCAAACCTAGCCTCAAGGACAGGCTAGGGCAGAGGTGGTGAACCTATGGCACATGTGCCACAGCAGGCTGTTTATATCATTGAAAGCTCTGAAAGGTTCGCCACCACTGGGCTAGGGTGTTCAGGGACCCTTTCTCTTCCTTCCCTAGGCCCTGCAGCTCCAAATGGCTATGGACCAGGTAGAGGTGGGCTGGGGTTCTGGGGAAGCCCAAAGATGGGGATCCCCAGGCTCCTCACCAGCTCCCTGTCTCTCCTCCAGGCTATGGAGGGGGTGTGAATCCTCAGCAGCCAGGTGAGCCCTGCCCCAAGCTACCTCTCTGCCTCCCCAGCCCCGAGCTCCCCTCCCCTCATTCACACCACCTCCATCCGTGACCCCAGCCTTCGGGCACAGGAATGGGTTGGGAGCTCAGCGAGGTGAGTGCAGGAGGCCGGGGCGGGGGTCTGTGTGTGCCAGAGGCTGGTGAAAGAAGAGAGCTGGGGAGCGTCTGGGATCCCTGGTTTCTGGCCTGGTCCTGAAGGGAGGACAGGAGACCCTTTGCTCCTGCTCCTACTTCACTCCCCCACTGGTCCCCCAACTCAGAACAGCTGCAGGGCAGGTCCTGAGGGGCTGGGAGAGGCTGCAGGCAGGATGCTGGGTTCCAGGTGCCTCTGAGAGGGGTTTGAGTGCCTCACCTGCTCTCCATTTTCTACAGGCTTTGGAGGGGACATGAAACCTCAGAAAGCAGGTGAGCCCCACCCTTGCCTGTTTCTGTCTCCCCTAAAACTCAAGCTCCTTCCCCCTTCTTATCTCTGCCCCACATGTCCCCCCAGGGCTCCTGCATGGGAATGGGCTGGGAGCCCAGCCAGGTGAGCACGGGGGCCTCGGAGGCACATCTGGGGTGTCCTTCCATTCCCCTCTCAGGCCTCAGAGGTGCAGAGGAGATGAAAAACTGAGGGGGAGCTGGGAGGAAACCTCTGGCATTCCAGGTTTCAGGGTCTATCTAAAAGAGGGGGGCCTTCACTTGCACCTCAGCTGGACCCCAAGTTCTCCCTCTCCACACCAGCCTGGCAGCCCAGAACAGATCTGGGGCAGGCAGGGGAAGGAGCAGGGAAGGAAGCAGGGCCTGGTGAGGAGGGTCCCTGAGGCCTCCCCTGCTGCTTGTATCTTGTCCAGGTTTTGCAGGGGGCAGGAAGCCCCAGAAGCCAGGTGAGTTGCTTGGTCTGTCTCTGTACATGAACTGCCGAAGATATAGGCCCTCCACCACACTTCCCTCCGTGTCTCTACGGGGTATGGAAATGGGAGGGGCGGGTCCCTGGGGCAGGAGCCCAACTAGTGAGCTCAGCTGGTGGAGCCCGCTAGAGCGTGGACAGGGGAAAGGCCCAGCCTGGGGCTCAGTGACTCCATAGGAAGGTCAGAAAGTGAGGGGTCACCAGAGCCTCAGCGTGTGGGGGTGGCAGAGGGCTGGGAGGCTCAGAGCCAGTAGGAAGCCCCCCTGCACCCCCCTGCCTGTCTCTGATGCTGCTCCTCCCCCATATCACCCCATGCCCCCCTCATTTCTCCCCAAGATACAATAACAGAAATGAACTAGCAGCCAGGCCTGGCAAGGGCCTTGGGTCCAGGTTTCGTGTTGGTGTTGGGAGACGGGGAATGTGGGAGAGAGACTGAGGACAGGGACTGGGGCCAGGAGCTGAGAGAGACGGACTGGAGTCTTGTCCCCCCCCCATCTCTCCCGGGGCCTAAGAGTGAGCGTGAAACCTCAGAAGCCAGGTGACAGCCAGTCTGCACCCCTTCTCCGCCTCTGTCCCTAAACTCACCGCCCTTAGACACTAAGCATACTAAGCCAGGGCTGACCTGGGAAGAGGGCCGCCACTCTTCGTGAAGGAAGGAAGTCCATGAGGATACCGAGGGTCCTGGGGAGAAGGACACACGGGGGGGCCCAGTCCCGGCCTCCTCCTCTTCCCACCACAGCACTGCCCTCTTTCCCACAGGCCCTGCAGCTCTAAATGGCTACGGACCAGGTAGGGGTGGGCTGGGATTCTGGGGAGGCCCAAGGGTGAGGACCCCCATGCTTCTCCCCAGCTCCCTGTCTCTCCTCCAGGCTACAGAGGGGGTGTGAAGCCCCAGCAGCCAGGTGAGGCCTGCCCCATGCTGTCACCCCAGCCCCAGCTGAGCTCCCCTCCCCTCATTCACACCACCTCCATCCATGACCCCAGCGCTCAGGCAGGGGTCTCCCAGGAGAGTCACCAGAATCCTGGCTCTTAAGGTGGCATCAAAGGCCCTTCTTCCCCCACCGTTGCCAGGGTCTGAACCCCCTGCTCACTCCCCCACAGGCCCCCCAGCTCAGAACAGCTATGGAGCAGGCACTGCAGGACTGGGGGAGGCTAGGCAGAGGAGGCAGGGGGTGAGTCTCCACCCCTGGCCTGTCTGAAACCTTCCTCACCTCAGCCCCTCTTCTCCACAGGCCTTGTGTTTCCCCTCAGCCGTGGACCAGGTAGGGAGGGGTGGGCACTGGGGCCAGGGGCCAGGAACCCAGAGGAGAGGCCTATGGTGAGGACGTCTGCGTTGCTCACTTGCCCTCTTTCCCTTCTCCAGCCATCGAGGGGGGCAGGAAGCTCCAGAAGCCAGGTTAGCCTTTTCTGTCAACACCTCCCACCCCTGTCCTCCTACAAATTGTCTGCTGCCCCTTCCCCTCCCAAGCCTCTGTCTCTGCGGGACACAGGACCAGGCTGAACGCTGCAGCTTTTCCCTGAGAAGGGGCCCAAGTGGGTGAGGGGCAGGAGGATAGCGCTCCACGGCCTCCTTGGTCCTGTCTGTCTCTCCCCAGGCCTGCGGGGGCGGGGGGGGGGGACCTCTGAGGCCGGACAAGGGGGAGGCCCCACCTCCAGCTCCTGCCTCCTGGCTTCCCTTTCCCTCTGCCCCTCACACCCCCACTTTTCTTCCCCAGGATACAGCAATGGAAATGGGCTGGTAGCCCAGTCAGGTGGGGCCACAAGGACCAGGCTTGGGGACCCAGGAGGGAGGGGGGTGTGGCTGGTGGGCAGGAAGCAGGAGCCCCTTGCCTGCCTGTTGTGGGCTGTGGAAGCTGATCTTTCTCCACTCAGTTTTTTTTTTTTTTTTTTTTTTTTTTTTCTTTTTTGGGTACCGGGGATCCAACTCACAACCTTGCGCTTGCCAGGCGGGAGTTTACGCCTCTGAGCTATATGCTATCTCCCCTCAGCTGGTGGGTTGGCCC